TTTAAACTACATAATCAATTTCGAAGCCCCGCAAATTTCATGTTGGACTTGTTGGATAAGATGAAAGATTGCAATCATCAGTGTATACTTTTCAGCTGAATTTCATAAACGGCTCGATATTTTTCAGTGAATTCTGACAGTATTCATACTGAACAAACCAATTTATTTTATTTGGTTTGCGCAAGTTATTGCGTCACAGTTAGTTGTCTAAACGCATCCCACATGGAAAAAGTTGTCTAAGCGTGCTTAGTGATCAGCGACAAAATTGAAATACCGGGCTTGCTGGTCGTAGCAAGGGGCTAATCATCTACGGTCTAGGGGCCGATTAACCTCTTTCTTATGCTTCGGCCGAGCTTCCTGATCAGTCTGTAAGTCCTCGGATAGCTGTGTCGGGGCTGAAATCTCCGGCGTAGCCGTAAATGCTTCGCGCTGCCATACGACGGTTCAGCACTCGATGTCTGGAAGTATGGTCCTATTAATCTAGCAATACGAATAAAAATACCCCCCTCCCTTCCCCGAAAAATTTAATTACAGAAAAACCTTTACAGTTTATGTATAGAGCAATCTGGAAACAAAGAGGAATCGTCACTGCCCATGCGCGTTATATTTGAAGAAATCGACGTTAGTTAAGCCAACTTGAACATGATTAACAGAGTTTCAAAGCAACTTTTCGACTCGTTATTGATAAAACATTTTTTATAAAATAACTGTTCCAAATCTCGCGTTCTGATTGGTTGGGAGCGCGTGCTTTATGAGGAGCACACAGCACATGCGCGCACTTTCAGTTTCGTCATTCCTGTAATTTGTATTTTATAAAAGAAATGAAAAACTTGYTTGCTGTGCTGTGTGGAGTTTTAAAGCTATCTGAGTTGGTGTATGGAAAAAACGATGTAGCTGAAAAGTACTGATTGCAAACTTTATTTCTCGTCCAACATCCAACCAAGGTAGGTCAATCAGAAGCGTGGTCAGAAAAAACTATAAGCACCCAGTTAAAAATAAGTGTGTAAGACAACTAAGGATCAAGTCTTTTGTTTACAGTAGACTGTCTTTAAACCACTATAAGCAACCAATTCCCTTAAGCGACCACCTTCTCAAACCATATCACTCTTTACAGCGACCACTTACTCCTTACCCCAAAGTGGTTGCTTACGAGACTAATGCGTTACCACTCCTGGGTGGACGGCGTAATGCCTAACAGGTTTTGCAACCCATTTGATCAGGCAGCCAATAGATAAAATTAAAATTTAAAAGTTGATTTTTGTGAAGGGTGGACAAACTGGAGAACCCCGAAGAAAAACGCTCAAAACACAGGAGAGAGCCAACAAACAACTCAACTCACATATGACACCGAGCCCTGGAATCAAACACAGGTCGCACTGGTGAAAGGCAACATAGAGCAGTTTTCGTATGACTGTGAAAAGCTCAGTGCCGTAAGCGTGACGTGCCGTGACCGTGATGGTTTCTAGAATTTTAATTGGCTGATTTTTTTCACGCGCAATGTGATTGGTCTGGCATTGCCATGATCATGGCGTGACCTTGTCCGCGCCGTGTTTATGCCGTGATCCGGGTATTTGATTGGATGGAGAGTAAATTCTCGTGCAATGTGATTGGTCTGGCGTATCCCTTGCCGTGTCATGGCCGAGTTCGTGCCGTGAATTTTTCACATTCATACGAAAACTGCACTATTAGCAGTGAAAGCCAACCATGTTTTCCGAGTCAGCGGTATCTTTACCTTAAGTTCATAATGAATTCTTATACAGCTACAACTGCTCATACTGGGTGGAACTGATGGGACGGGAATAAGCATGGAAGGGTAATGGTGTTCATCACCACGGCGTACGCCAACATCTGTTAGGCGCTTAATTTCATGATTTACAGATCTCTGTTTATCACGACTCCAACCTAAGACCCCAGAAGTGAGATGTGAGTAAACTACCACTGCACCGCATATAATTTTCGAATATGACCTTACCTAAAACACCAAATTGCAAAGACATGACATTTATGCCATTATCTCCAGCAACACCATCCCCCCACCCCTCCCCTCCCGATTAAACCCTTAAAACAGGCAACCCATGCAACCAAAAAACTCTGATTTAACAACCTCTCCATCTTTACCTGATGATGCTATAAACGTGACATATTGAACCAAAGAAACTTCAATCCCAGGAAGATTTTCGTCTGTTTTGTTGTTAATGTACAAAGAAATGGCAATTGATTCTCCTGGACAGTAGCCCCCCCTGTCTGTCATCGCAATGATTGTCAGYGGACCAGACACACAGCACAAACTGCCGAGATTTTTTTCAATCTCTTGTTGCATTGGGTTCTGATGGTTGTAGTAACAAGAAAGGAAAAAATTTACATTTGTATCGGAATTRCAGTTTCTGTTCTTGCAAGACTGTAATTATACACTTCACTGAATAAATAGACCTGAGCTTTAAAATACCTTGGGCGTAATGTGTTTCCCATTTCTGACCACAAGTCATTCTCTTGAGTATTATTGTTTCGTTTAACAACCCCTTGCCCTGAGTCCCAAGAGAAATCATTCTGGCGGACAAAACAATGGATTCTTTTTTGCATAAAAAAAGATAGCCTAATGTTTTGTCTCCCAAAATAATTCCTCTAGGGAATCAATACCTAAGTGAAAGTACCTAAATGAGTGTAATGTTTTCACATTTTTTTCCTCATGTAAATTTTCGACACTTGAAAGCCAATGATTCTGGTTCTATCTTCCAATCATGTTCAAATTTGCCAGAATTACTAATCGGAGATCCTTTCTCGCACGACTATTTTTTTACTCTCATAAGACTAAAATTCAAAACTTGCCCCAGTCTCTTGCTCGTTTCTAAAGTGGTCAATACACACATGATATGAATCTTGTAAAGAAGAAGGACAACAACAACAACAACAAAAACTAAAAAAAACCCAATGATATGAATTCAAAGTATGCTTACCACTAGACGAGCAACATTGATGTCTACAAACTCAATCATGGAAAAGGCAGCTTTGGTAGTAACATCAAACCTCCAAGGTCTGTCAATAATGACTTTAAGCCAGTATCTGACATGTCCATATTTACCTTCATAAGATGACGGCAGGTTTTGCTCAGGGATGAGGAAGGAGAAGGGATATGAATAGTCTCCAGCAGGAAGGACAGGATTGTCTGCTTTCTCTCCAGGAGCTGTAAATATTTTTCCATAAATTTTAAAATAAAACTATGAATTTGACTATGATTTTTAAGGCTATAAAATACATACATCATTTTAAAAATATTCTGATTTTGAGAGTTCCCTTTTCCTGAGGGGGGAGAAGGTGGGAGAAATTTAATTCTTTTATAGGAAATAATATAAGTTCTTAAGTATATGTTGCATGATCTAAATTTAATAAGCATTATAAAAGATTATAAAGAGAGTACAAACAGTAATAATGGTGAGCAGAATTCTTATAGTTTAGGTCCTTTCTGTAGTAAGAATAAAATATTTTAGATTGATAATAGTACATGACATCATGCAGTATACACATATGATCACTATAACATTAAAATAAAACTGAGAATATAATCTAGAATCCATGACCGTCCATATGGCGAGTCGGAGTAACTATGTAATACCCCGCAAAAAAGAGAGAAGGTGGGAAAATAAATGCTATGTATTCAGCCGCCTATATGGGATTTTACGTCTCAGGAATAAATGTTAATTTCAAATTGAGCATGCGGGTTGCCTGTGCCTTAATATTTTCTTGAGTGTTTTAAGAACAATATATACTCTAAATAGTGGCTACACGTCAACTCGTGCTATGCATTAACGCGTGCTACGCGTCAAATTGAGTATGCGGGCTGCCTGTGTCTTGACGCGTTGGCGCGTAGCCAGTCTTAACGGGTAGAGGCGTGATTCAGGCTGACGTTCAGGCTATTGCTGGTTTTCACATGACGTCATAAAAACATCAAAATCTAAACTATAGATCGTATAAAGACATTTCTCAAGTATGTTTTAGAAGTCAGTGTCATAAGACACAAGAAAAAATCTCGAGTCATTTCGATGTTTGGTTCCCGAGTTATGAAGGTTGAGTTTGTGTCACGCAATACCGTCACRTCTTTCTAAATAGCGATGAAAATATTAAAATAATTTACTCTAGTTGAAAGATTTTCCCTTAGACACGCTTAAAATATCTATTTAAAGTATGTGTAAGTGAAAAATAGTCAAACATATTAAATATTCCATCATTTTAAGCCTTTAGAATTTCGTCCGCCATGATGGTGTACCAACTTGGAACACCAAGATGGCCGCTCCATACATTTTAACCAAAAATTGCGTCATGTTTACTCGCCTATAGTTCCGCAACGAAATGCTTTACAGCCTTAAAATTTAACCAGTATATGTAGTTTGGACCGCTTTGCAAGAATATAAGACTTCTATTTCATTATAATGCGAATTTACGCTTTTGAAATTCATGATGACGTAGGTGAAAACCAAGAATAAGTGTGTATGTATATAATAATATATAAGTAAATATAATATAATATAAGTATATGTAAATATATGATACATAATTTCGATGTTGACGCGTTGACGCGTAGCCACACTAATCAGAGAAATTTGAAGTGCGGGGTATTCGATAGTTGTATCCCATGAAGCCATGAAATGTTTCCTAGTATCAACCAGGCCTAATATCCCAAGAAGACGCCAAAAATGTTAGCAATCTTCAAATTAAACCATTTTGGTAAACATTACTGGCGATCTCAATCGAAATTAGGCACAATATATACACACGTACGTCATAATTAGACGTCATAATTTAGAGAAGATCATGTCCTCAGAACAGTCCTTTTCTTGGCGCAAAAAATAATTCAAATCGATAAATAAAAACCTACCTTTGCCAAAGAGAGTAGCTGAGCTGTTAATAAATATCTGTTTGTTACTAAAGGTTCGCGTAGTAGTTTGACTATGACCGCTAGATGACTGACTGTGACTTTTCTCAGTCCATTTTACTCGAGCTTCGCCATGAAATTCAATTCTGATTCCTCTAAGTTTGAGTTCCTTGCTTATTTTGACGAATACTGTACCATTCAGAACACTCCCTGGATAGTAAACTTTTGTATTATCGGTAAATGCAACCGTAAATGATTCTACCCTTCCCATGTTTGACCCGTGGGTCTGTAGCTCGTTTGTTGTGAAGGCTTTTAGTCATGCGTCGTGTTACGGGAAAGTCACGGGATAAAATCGGGATTTTCCTGCGGTTTCCCTGTGGGAAAAACAACATGGCTCCATACCAACAGTTTGCGATCGTTCTCGATGATGGAAAAACGTTTTATCAGCCAGGAGATGAGGTTAAAGGAAGGATATTTCTGAAATTGAGTAAATCTATGACCATCAGGAGTGTCAGCGTTGGTTTTCATGGCGAAGGACATGTAACTCATTACAGCAATCGCACTCATTACGACTTCACCCAGCCATACTTCCATTACTACTCGGTCGTCTATGATTGCAACAACGAAAGTAAGACTCGATACTTTTAATACATATAATGTTACTTGAAGTCGGTAAACTATAATGTTTTTGTTGTGAAAGAGAACTGTTTCCCACTTTTTTCTCGATTTATAGAGACGAACCATTAGATATTTGAGGTGGGGGTCTTTCCTGGGGCTTCTGGGCTTCCCTCCTATGAAATTTCAAATAATTTTAATTCATTTTGGGATTTAGTTGATGAGATTTGTTATGATCTTATGTTTTCCCCCATAAGGTGCTCACCAACGACTGCAAGGCAATTTCCCTCCAGGTGAGTTTTCGTTCCCATTTGCCTTCAGACTGCCGCCTGTTAATCTACCGTCGTCATACCATGATGGCACTGGATCTGTACGGTATTGGCTTGAATCAGTTATTGAAAGATCCATATGGGCTAATGAAAAGACTGCTGTTGCTATCCTTGTGATGGAGCCAGTGGATGTCAACAGTTTAGAAATGCAGGTGAACATATAGGAAATGCAATGTTATTTTGTTATTTATGCATATGGAATATATAAATATAATTATTCAGAAATTGAGGGCCACATTAAAAAGTTTTAGCTTTGTTTACAAGGGTATAACACAGATAGAGCACAGAAACTTGTTTTCATTCTGGCCCTCAATTTCTGATCAAATTGGAATTTGGAAGTTGAATTTTGTGGAAGGAGAAAATCAACAAACAACTCTACTCACATATGACACAAAGACAATCAGGAATCAATAAAACAATATACCAAATGTACACATACCACATACTTCGCACATTTGGATTGGTAAGGTGACTGAGAAATCAGGGACCGCAGTGCATATTGAAGTGGGGGGTGGGGGACTGGCATTTGATAATTAAAAGAATTCTCAATCAAATTTTGGGAAAAAACTTTTTTTATTCATGTTCGTATTTTTGGCACAAAAAATGGGCTGGGAGGGCTGCGGCAACCCAGCCCCCTGGCTTCGTGGTCCCTGCAGATGGATGGGAATGATGGGAAGGGAGAGAAAGGAAGGGAGAACGACAATCAACAGAACTCTAGTGTAATTAAGAAACATTATTTCTCTACAGCAACCACAAAGCAAGGAAAAAGAAATGCCTATTTGCTGTTGTTGTGTGAAAGGTGGAAAGGTCAACGTATCTGGTAAAATCAACAAGAGAGGTTACTATCCCGGTGAAATCATTGAGAGTAAATTCTTCATTGAAAATGAGTCCAACAGGGAAGTGACTTACACTGAGTTTATTCTCAAACAAAAGGTCACACAACAATATGCAAAAGGTAAGAATTGAAATAATCTGACATATTTTTTTCAGTCTTTCTCTGTCAGTCTATGGGTCTTCCCTATAACCCTTGTGTGGGGTACTAGTCTCCCTCGCAACCGTTTTTAGTGTCGGTCATCACGCAGCATTGCGTGACAAACTGACACTAAAAACGGATGCGAGGGAGACTAGTGGGGTACTTGAGCTGGCTAGATCAATATGTTGTTTTTTGCTTTAGTTGTTTGTGATTATTGAATTTTATTATATGGATATCGATGAAATACCAGGTTTTTTTCTAGTGTCGAAAACTTGATATCTTTCACCAGTGGAAGATATATCTTTCACACCTGAAGATATCGCTGTTGACATAGTAACGCTATTTTAATAAAGAATTTTTGAGCTTTTGTTTTATTTAAGTTTCATTGATATCTATATAATAAACAGAACATTACATGGCCGCTTGGAGATACAAATTTTATCTTCAAGTGTTCAATTGATATCTCACGAGTGAGCGAATCTCCACGCGCCCATGTAATATCTATCTTCTTTATAGGGGAATATTCTAAAAAACAGAAAACAATCACAATAGCTTCTGCTAAAGGGATTGGTGTACCAGTTGGACAAGAAAAAGAATTCAACAACTTCAGGCTGACAATTCCTAATGGCTTGCYGCCAAGCACCACCTTAGAGGACAGTATCATATCAGTTACATACTTTGTTGAGGTTCGTATAAGGGTAATTTATCCCACACCATTTTAAAGAAACTTTGCTAATTAGAGTGCATTTGTAATTAACAGTACCCCAATAGTTTAAAAGTAATTATCATAAATGAGTTGAATAGCAGGAGTGCAAATATAGTTGGGTATATACAGGGTTTTCAATAGAAGCCGGCAACCGGCAGATTCCACAGTCTACTCTTGCTAATTCAGCCGCCTACTTAGCCACTTTCCAATGTCATTGTGAAGTTTGATTAAAGTTCGTTAAAATAAATTTTAACCCAATCTTTGTTGCTGTACTACGAAAACTGCAACGCAATCGAAACTATGATGATCCTTGTTCGCCATCTTGGATTTTTGTGAGAAGAGTGAGACTGGTGACAAGTATGCCTTAATTACATGCTCCAGTGATTTCTGGTTTACCACCTATTTTAATTTCCTAACCGCCTACCAACATTTTTATTGAAAACCCTGTATATAGAGATATAATGTTACATGTCACATGTTAAGAGCTTGATATCGTTTTTATTCACAAGTTTCCATATCGCTCACTCGCTCGTTCGCGATATGATATGGAAAAAGAGTGAATAAAAAAGATATCAAGCTCTTAACATGTAATAATTTGTTTATTACACATTTAGGGATGATAAAATGACAAAATGTACAATTTTCAGTTCACCGTGAAGTGATATCGTATCACTTCACTGATATGGTTTTTTTTCATAGCTTTATCACACAGATATTGGCCCTAAAAGTGTGATAAAATGCTTTCCCATTTCAGATCACATGTCATTCCCTTGAGTATTATTTCTTTTACAGACCCTTTTACTTTGGGTGTAATGTTTTCCCATTTCAGACCACATGTCATTCCCTTGAGTATTAATACTTCTTGGACCCTTTTACTTTGGGCGTAATGTTTTCCCATTTCAGAACATGTCATTCCCTTGAGTATTATTACTTCTTAGACCCTTTTACTTTGGGCGTAATGTTTTCCCATTTCAGAACATGTCATTCCCTTGAGTATTATTACTTCTTGGACCCTTTTACTTTGGGTGTAATGTTTTTCCATTTCAGAACATGTCATTCCCTTGAGTATTATTACTTCTTGGACCCTTTTACTTTGGGCGTAATGTTTTCCCATTTCAGACCACATATCATTCCCTTGAGCATTATTTCTTTTCGAGACCCTTTTACTTTGGGTGCAATGTTTTCCCATTTCAGAACATGTCATTCCCTTGAGTATTATTACTTCTTGGACCCTTTTACTTTAGGCGTAATGTTTTCCCATTTCAGACATGTCATTCCCTTGAGTATTATTACTTCTTGGACCCTTTTACTTTGGTTGTAATGTTTTCCCATTTCAGACCACATGTCATTCCCTTGAGTATTATTACTTCTTGGACCCTTTTACTTTGGGCGTAATGTTTTCCCATTTCAGACCACATGTCATTCCCTTGAGTATTATTTCTTTTATAGACCCTTTTACTTTGGGTGTAATGTTTTTCCATTTCAAACCACATGTTGTTCCCTTGAGATTTATTTCTTTCTTTACTGGAAAATATGAATGAAGGATTTATTTTTCTGTAACAAGCCACAAGAACTACACACTAAGTAAAAATAGGCATGCAAGCATACCTAATTAATGTGTTTTCTATTTGTGCCCACAGATGATTGCTCATGTGAAAGGACAATGCATTTGTGCTGCAAATATTGAAATCCCAGTCATAATCGGCTTCATCTCTTCACCCTCAGGATCTGTCTGGAGTCAGGAAGTGCTTCGAGCTATTGCACAGCTTGTTAACAGTCAGTTGGAGCAGGAGAGACAGAGTGCTACTCAGGTGCAAGAGATGGGGGCTGATAATCATGTGCAACATGATGACCAGGAAATGCTGGTACCACCAGCTCACGTTTAGCTGGTCAGTTTCCTATAACAAAAATAGGGCTGACCAGGAAATGCTGGTGTATTTGTTCTATTCTTCGTAGTTGATTACCAGGATATTAGCATACGCATAGGCTAGGTGAGCTTTTAGGTGTTACGTCATGATCAATCATACGGAAAAACGACTTCCTGTCCATAACGGAAAGCCGTTCTGTAAATAGTTTTCTTGATTGTCCATAGTTCTAACAATATCAGATGAAGGTTAAATCATTGAGAAACAATTAGCGAATTGGGATTTGAAATGCGTCAAAACTCCAAACAACTTAATGTACTGACACACGCCGCAATATTGCATGCAACATTGCACGCAACAGGAATGTTACAGCGTGTGCCTACCCCAAACTTGTTGCACGCAACGTTGCATGCAACAAATCTGAAGTTGAATCGCGCTCTACTCTGGCAGCATTGCGCGCAACAAATTTCATCATGTGAACATGGCTGCAACATTGCGTGTAACGTTTTGAAATTTCCAGCCTATCAGCTTACACCAAATTTATAACTGCTGACCTAATATCTTAACATAGCAGGCTGACACAAGCGATGTTGCGTGATTTTGTTGCAATGTGTGTCACTCCGATTCAAATTTGTTGCTTGCAATGTTACGTGCATTGTTGCGCCGTATGTCAGCATCTTTAAAAGCTCTGCTAAAAGGGCCTGTTTGAATGGCTTGTCCAGCCGTTTCACTGTATTATTATTTAGTTAGATCAAAGTTGTTCTAAGTTAGTTCAAAGTTGTTCTAAGCTAGTTCAAAGTTGTTCTAAGCTAGTTCAAAGTTGTCCTAAGCTAGTTCAAAGTTGTTCTAAGCTAGTTCAAAGTTGTTCTAAGCTAGTTCAAAGTTGTTCTAAGTTAGTTCAAAGTTGTTCTAAGTTAGTTCAAAGTTGTTCTAAGCTAGTTCAAAATTGTTCTAAGTTAGTTCAAAGTTGTTCTAAGCTAGTTCAAAGTTGTTCTAAGCTAGTTCAAAGTTGTTCTAAGTTAGTTCAAAGTTGTTCTAAGCTAGTTCAAAGTTGTTCTAAGCTAGTTCAAAATTGTTCTAAGCTAGTTCAAAGTTGTTCTAATATAAGTTAGACTAAAATGTAAAACACTTAAAAGAGTCACTGCTATCCCTCGAAACATATGTACGTCTACGGCTAAGTGACATAAAATATATCCAAGTAAAAAAACATAAAACTGATAATGATGTGGCGAGTAGGATAAATAAATAAATAAATTATTCATTCCATAAGTAAACTTTAGTGTGTTAATAGACATTAAGAAATCTCGGAAAAATAATAATAAACGGATTGTAACAAAATATCCCTTCATGACGTAGTTGTTATACCAAACGTGCTTCCCACGGTTTTCCGGCGAAGTCGACGTATTTTACATGAAGAGTGTAGGACCTGTTTTGCTTCAAACGAGACGAAAAAAAGTCAAATAATATGGATTGTGACTGATTATTCGTATGAAAAAGTATAGACCGGTTCCAGCAATTCCCAAAGCCATTAAACTCGGAGGACAAGTCAATGAATTGCCCTATTTCACTATGACGTCACTGCTTGTTTATGTGGGGGATAGAATCGCCAAATCTAATAGAAAATTCAACAAAATTTGCTCCTAGCGAAACATTTTAATCTAAAATGGCCTGGTTTTCAGATATAATATGTGTTAATATGTACTGAAAAATATTCTGAGCGTTTGCTGGCTATTCTACTTCTCTTCGTGGATTGATACGGGTTTTAGAGCAATTTTCGGTGAATGTGCGTTCAATTGACCCCCTCTGACGACCATGATCCTTTGCGTTTAAACAATAGATTGTTTTAAGGTGACGTCATAGTGAAACAGGGCAATTCAAGTTCAGTTCTCATGAGAGTAACATTCAATTGTTTTAGCTTGTTTTGTCCTCTGAATAAGCCTGAAGCGAGATGACGTTTTACCCCCGTCTCTAGACCATAATCCTTTTCACATTGCTTTTGTTCTTTAATTATGACTATTGTTCCTGTATTCTCTAAGGAATCRAAAATTTTAATATGAAAGAATTTTAAAAACTATTATGGTATAGAGTCGGGGGTAAAACGTCATCTCGCTTCAGGCTTATTGGGCTGCTTTGGGAATATTCTGCAAGGGTCCTATACTAAAAGAGTACTAGTGAAGCGGAAGTCTTCTTACTGAAGCATGAAAAAAAAACACTCGATTTTAGTATGCGGTAAAACCACAATATTGGTTTCAACTGTCAGTTTCGTTCGTATTATAGCATGAAGCCTGATAAAAGACATGCAGAGCAGAAATTATTCTCCTAGAGCCAAAAATAGTCCATTAAAGTGACTGCCTACTTTTGGAAATTGATTTAAGCTTTTTTTAAAACTTCGATTTTCCGAATTGAAATTTAATGCTGATTCCAAATCTGAAAAGAAAAATAGGGTGTCCCGAGCTCGTCTTCGAGATAATCAGCATTTAATGGAAGGCTACGCACGAGCTTTTGGAGTAAAAATTGCGCCACCGGAAGTGATTAGAAAAAATTAAGATTAATAAGATAATAGTTAATTGCAGACTCTATGGTTGCACGAATGAAGGCTAGTCAATCATTCTACAATAATACATGGATATTTTTGACAAAAAGACAAAGAGATAAATTGATTTGTCATATCTTGTAGTTTCGGTGCTCTTAAAAAAATCTCATAAAGTCGAACAAAAATCCCTACAAAAATCTATTTTTTCACGTGTTCCTGATTTAAACTTTTTCTAAAATGTTGATATAACCTAGATTTTTAGGAGTTTTTTCGAGCTATCAAAAGATATAGAGTCCCGTACAAAATTTGAGGGTTTTGCCCTGTTGAAGCTCAAAACGCGTATGGTTCTTCAATAAAATCTTGTAGATTTTTCAGCGGTTTTTGAGCGCGCGCACATCGTGGGCTCAAATCGAACGTTCAAAAGTAGGCAGCCACCTTAACTAGATGAACAAGTACTGCAAGATAACTTTTATATCTAACCTGTATTTCCGCCGGTTTGTGTAAAGAACCGAGATCAAGAGCTTTTCCAGATCTACTTATAAATTCCAAAGTAAAAGTACTGAAGAGTGGAAGTCTTCTTACTGAAGCATGAAAACTGAAACACTCGACTTAAGTATGCGGTAAGAGCGCAAGTGTCTTCAAACTCTCTCACGACAGTTGTGTGTCAACATGAGTCCTGAAAAAGACTGTRCTGCAATTGTTCTCCAAGAGGTAAGAGTCTTTTTCCCAGGAGAGCAAGTACAAGGTAACCTGTATCTTTGTTTAACTGGAGAATCGAAAATCAAAAATATTCAGATTTTTTTGGGGGGTGAGTCTCGTGTTGAGTTCTTCCAGAACAATACGTACTATGAGCTGAAATTACCTCACTTCGCACAGCAAGCTTTACTATATGACCGAGGTAAGTAAATGGCCAGAAGTTATTTTACCCAACAAGCGGAGAGCTCCATGTGCTATCCCTTATCTGAGGGCCAAAACGAAAGAGCTTTTGCCTAATTTTACCTAAAGTTTGAAAACGTTTCTCGTAGAATTGTACAAATTTGCACAAATTAGTTAGCTCATTAGACCTTAGACATGCAAAACTTTGCACTATATATTTGTATAATTTTGTTACCTTTTTCACGGATATATGGTATCAAGAGAAAATGATTTATGCACTGTAACGTTTTATTAGTATATGTAATAGGACTCCATGCTGTCCAATTAAGAAATAATTGGACGAGGAAAATTCCGAGGACTAACAAAATTGGATGAGGCCGTAGGCCGAGTTCAATTTGGCAGTCAGAGGAATTTTTCGAGTCTAATTATTTCTTAATTGGGGAGCATGAAATCCCATTACCTATTAATTATGTAGCTGCCTAATTAATCCCATATCAACAATACCTGTCCAATTAAGAAAATAATTGGACAGTTACCTATATGGGATTAATGAGAAGCTCTATAATTAAATTGTAAAAGATTGCATCAGATGGGATATATATAGGAGGTCTCATTAATTTTCTTTGACATTCCTCGCACGAGCGGTTCGCTCGCCGTCACATTTATTCGAAAGATATGCTATTTTAGATCACTTTAGTCTTTTTTTCTTGGAATAGGATCGAAAAACAGAAATAAAATTCGTCAAATATCGCTTTTCTGTTGTTAGTAATGGAGATGAAGTAAGAACGGTTCTCTCATTGTTTCTGAAAAACGTAGTACGATATTAGGAAAACAACACACGATATTCTAATCGTAGATGATTACAGTAAAAACCCGCCTATAAGAACCTAAAATTTAAGAACCTGCTAGGCTAAAATTTCATTTTTAAGCACCCTTCACATAAGAACCATTTTAGGCTAAAATACTAAACCAGGTTCTTATTTAAAARAAAAAAAAAAAAAAAAAAATAGAATCAATCTTTTCAAAAATATATTTATAACACAGTCTGTACACAATAATGCTATAAACACTATAACTKTACATGGTTACTGTAAAGAACATGTCCTCATTGAATAAAAAAATCCAACTTAAAATGAAACTTTATTTTATTTCTTGACCAAAAGTTAAGAACCTAATTAAGAACCTAGTTAGCCTAATTTAACACTAAATACCATTTATATTAGAACCTGTTTAGGCTAACTTGAAAAAACCTAGGTTCTTATACGCGGGTTTTTACTGTACTCAATTGTGCGTCAATATGAACGTGCGTTAATGAACGTGTGTCGTTCATAGAAAGAACTTGCGACAGAACGGAATCCATAGAACATGCGTCGTTCGTGAATGAAACGGGCGACGAGCGGCGTGGAACGAGTGTGGTTTGAGTGTGCACGTTAAATCGTATACGACTCGGAACGTGCGTCAATGAACGTGCGTCGTTGTCAACGAACGACTTATAAATAATGTGTTTTATAGGAATTCATTTTAATTTTTAAAGTTTTTTTGGTGGCTATTTAACATCTTGATATTCGAAGCAAGGCAAGGATGGCGACCTTTCGCACTGCCGTTTCGAGAGTCTTACGCATTTTTAGTCGACTTGTTTTACAAAATCCGCGTAGTTATCATCACAGGGGTCAGAGGGGGCACTTATCTTTCATTGTTATATTATTTATTGCTGTAGATAATATGAGTAAGCTTGAGTCGGTCAGACTCCGCGCGCTGTATTGCTTGCGCTCTGCCTTAGACCTAACGGTTCCAGTTGCTTGGCGTATTAGTCCAATAAAAGCATTATTATTATGTAGCAATAATGTTTAATTTAACTTATTTCCACATCATTGTAATCCACGTGTTTACAATGCATGTGGAAACCATTCTCCTGGGAAGGGAAGTGGATGGCTGCAAGGGAGACTAGCTTGTAACGAACCATCATAGGCGCCGTTTGATGCTATTTTTAGAATCACATATGCCATCGTTTGTTTTTCTGGACGCGCACACTGTGCGCGCTCTACGCTGTTTGCCACCTACGATATTTTTGAAAAATAAAAGAAAACATGAGCAAACAGGAAAGAGCACTGCGCGCGCAGAAAAACAAACGATCAAATTAATGATTCTAAAAATAGCATCTGCGATTCTAAAAATGGCATCGAAGAGTGCTCATGATGGGCCGGGTGCGGGTATCTCTTCTCTTAGCTTATATTCTCTTGTATACACTTATTTCAATAAAGTTAGTCATTAAAAACCTAGAAAGCTGAGATCCCTGAGGATCATGGGAAACTTTTAATATCAAACGAGTAAAGCTTTTGATACAATTTGCAGCTTGAGGATGCTCAGAAAAGGTGAGACTGTAACTGGTAAAATCCATCAACAGTTATTAAAGCGGTTAAATCATGCAAAATGTAACTACCCATAATCCTTGTTGGTCTCAGCTTTGTAGCTTTTCAGGCAACTAACTTTATTGAAATAAGTGTATAATGATGGAGATGGTAGATGGTGATGATCTTGCTCATGAGGTCACTGACATACAAATTTATTTTCCGTTTTATTTCTGATATCGATTTGCTTTTCAATTTCAATTTCTGTTTTTGTTTTTATACTATACTTAGACACAGACGCTCAGATACAGGGAAAGTTCTCCGCAGGAGAGTACACATTTCCTTTCATTTTCACCATCCCTGATTGTGTGCCATCATCATATCAACAGACCAAAGGCAAGCCCGCTGGTCATACTTTATACGGGCTCAACGCAACCGTGCAAAGATCTTCGAAATCCAAACTAAAATCTGAACTAATGATAACCATATTTGAGAAAGTAGATGTCAGTCTGCCTGAGTTTCAGGTAAATTGTCCGATCAAGGAACTTTAGAACGTGGCGAATATCATAATGTTTTAAGAACAGACCGTTTTCTCAAAGTTGCGTGCGCATCCAACAGATCCTTACGGGCCCGTGAGGGTGTTGGACCTAAATTAATGACGGCTGGGGAGACTAATGTCAATAATGTCCCCACGCAGATAAAGTTTGGTAAAATTCCATCTTGTCGTGACCTCTCGTCAAGGGTTGCATTCACATCGTCCATAGTGCATTTTGGGGTGGCATTCATCATGCAATATGCTACAAAACTTTAATCAACCTTTTTTTAATGGCTGTATAGTAGCAAAGGTACCAGGGTTAAGCATAGGTCAACCCCACCCCTAAATCAAAAATCTAATAAAAATGTAATTATTTTAGATTCYAATAAGCGAACAGCATGACGAACACGTGACTTGTTGCTGTGTCGGAGGAGGGACCATCAAGATCAACGCAAAATTGAATAAATCGGGATACTATCCTGGTGAAGTTATCCAGGCCAAACTCTTCGTGGAAAATATGTCAAACCGAGATGTAACTTACGTCGAACTAGTGCTTAAGAATCAGGTTATCTATCGATATGGGAAAAGTAGGTCCTAGTAAATCATAATTTTTTATGATTAACTTTCAAATGGCTTCCACCAAGTTTTTGATTTGCTGGTGTCAATTTTCTCACTCTCTATTGGTTGGAAGTAGAAGCCATTTCATTGCCAAGAATACTAGCACTTTGATTATGGGTGGTTTGAATTCTCTAATTTTCTATTGGTTGGACGTGGAAGCCATTTAAGTGCAAGTCACAATACATTTAACGAGAAAAAGCATGCGTAGGCATTAATTTGCGACCCATGATAAGTAAGACAACACCTTGTCATTCACGTTGGTTACATATAATCATTGCTTGACAGCTTTGATCATAGCATCAGGGTTTAGCTTAGTTAAAAACTGGACCCACTTTTATCGGTGGCGTGCGGCAGAGACGAACCGAGTAGCGGAAATAGACTGATAAGAATTGTAACTCTTCCACTCTTCTCAGTTTTCTTTGTGCGCGCGCGGTATTTTCTTTTACTTTTGAGATAAAAATCAATCAGTTAAGGAGAAAAGAAATTTGGTGCTGTTCTGGACTAGGTTTAGCTTGGGTTTCCTATTTTCTGTTGCAAGTATGGCCACACAGTAAAAGTTTCAACTGCAGCTTGTTTTTAGTACTGTTGCGACGCTTGCAATTTCACCGTGTATCATTAAGATTTCTTTTATTTAAGAATCTAAATTTACACTTAACAGAGGAATATGACATTGCTGCCAGAAAATACGGAATAGCCGCTGTGAAGAGTATTGGTGTTCCAAGAGGACAAAACGAAGACATCGAGTGCTTAACGCTGGAGATCCCTCATTCCTTGCAACCTTCCACAGGCGAAGAGACCGAGTCAATAATTACAATACTACACTATATGGATGTAAGTTAGTAAGACCTACACTGGGCATGCGCAGTATTTCTTGCAAATTGTCTCCCAACCTGTGGCGGTGATTAAATAATGCGTTGCAGTAGCATAAACAGGAGATATTACACTACGTTATGTTTAATGACCAAAGTGATTAATAATTATTATTAGCTGGCATAACAAATCGTTGCGAGACAGGTTTGCAGGAAGGGATCGTGTTAAACAAGGCAAGGTGCAGAAAGGTGGGCTTGTTAAGCCCCGTTTACACTGGCGATTTTGCGGCGATTTTTGTGGCAATTTTCGGAAATATAAAATCTTTTGTCTCATCCTTCAAGAGAGACATTCGTGTAGGAAAATATTGGTATCCTGAAATAAACTTTACAAGTAAATTCTTTACCATTATTTATTATGGACAAAATCGCAACAAAATCGCAGCAAAAGTCGATAGTGTAAACGGGGCTTTACACAAGGCAAAGTCTTGAAATTCTTGCCGTAATAGTTTTTAAAAAAAGAACTCGATTCCACTTCTCGCTATGATGACGACGACGCTTGATTTAAGATTGCGAGATAAGTTCTTTGTTAAGCAGATTGTATGACACTAGGTTACGTTACTGATGCTAACAGATTTGTCTTTTCTGTTACAGATAATCGCGCATGTGAAGGGAAAATGTGTTTCTGCAGCCAAACTACGTATTCCAATCACGATTGGCAGCTATATTCCCTCGGAATCACTTGCATTTTACCCGGGACCCCCGGCACAACCAAACACGATGTAATTCAATTCGTTGCATGTTACCCGGGACCCCAGGCACAACCAAACACAGACACGAGGATGTAATTCAATTCGTTGCGTAAAATTTTCAATTTTTTAAAAACTTTTACTTTATAGAAATAATTATATATTGATGCAACATTAATAATCAGTCAAACACCCCATCCGACCAATAGACCTTTATATTCTGTACAATTTCAAGAAACTTCTGGATATTGCTAGTGCTTTTTACATTAGCAAATAATAAGGCTTTGTTCATAATGTATGGCAGAGAGGGGGGTAGGTGAAATTGAGGGGGGATCGGGAAAATTTTGGTAGGAAAAAGGGGGGGAAGGGCAATTTTTTGTCAGAAAAATGGGGGGGATGCACAATTTTTGGAAGAAGCTACAAGCCTTGCTTAGGGGGGATTGTATTTTTTTGCATGACTTTGAGGGGGGTTGTTTTTCACCTCCCCCTTCCCCTCTGCCATACATTATGAACGCAGCATAAGGAGTTATATTTCTGAAAAAGTTGTTTTAGTTTACTAAGAACTAAAGAATTCTTGATATTTGTTTGAAGCTTTGAACACAGGGAACTCATCTTGAAGTATAAAAGTTACACGTCATGACCACGTGATACGCAAGAGTATTAACATGTGATTTAAAGATGGCCATTATTCACGTGACACCATCCACGTGACCGAAATAGCGAATCATGACAACTTGATACATACTCTTCCCCAGGCTATAAAACATCGACCAAGTGCTGGCAACTCAAATGCCGAGTGCGAGGAAAAGGTGGTAACGAGTTGAACGCGCGCTGAATGATGGGACTGTTAGGGACGCCATTTAATTTGTCTTTTTCGTTTTACAGGTTTAAGTTTTTTAATTGAGTCACACTGGCTTGTTTTCGGTCTGTTTTTCAAGAACGTTTGCTAAGCTTTGCACAATATTGAAAAAAATGACCCATGATTCAGCGCGCTTCCTACTTGTTACCAGTTTTCCATGCAACCAAGGAATGCCGGTGACAAACACCCCGTGGGGACAGGAGACAAGAAAATACAGGGGAACGAGTCGATGAGGTCTCAGATGAACATTAGATATCATTATGATTTCATTAATTTGTTATTGATAATAATAATAATAATTCTAAAATCTTATCGTATACCCTCCATATAACTAGTGTCTAAATTCCACAATAAAGTTCGTAAAAAGGTCATTTCTCTGCGTGTGTTTTCCCACATTTGTAACGGGTTATCCTCGGGGTATCGGAGACAATTTGGCGCCCAAACCATCGATAGATTATTAACCTCCATCTTGGTCACGGAACTCACTTCCGGCAGCGAAAAAATCTGCCGAAGAAAGGAAAAAAGATCTAGCTTATTCCCATTCAATGCGCATAGAAAAACGCCAAGCATTAAAAAACATTATTTGCGTTAATAAGTATTTGTCCGTCGACACGTTTCTCTGCCTGTCTAATTTATTCACTTGTTTGTTTGTCTGTCTTTCGGTCATTCAGTGCTTAACGACGTGATATCTGACCGTCTGTCTGTCTCTCTTTGTCTCGCTGTCCGTCCGTCCGTTATCTGTTTGTCCGTCTGTCTTTCCGTCTGTCTTTCCGTCTGTCTTTCCGTCTGTTTTTCCGTCCGTCCGTCCGTCCTTCCGTCTGTCTGGTTGTCTTTTTGTCTGTCCGTCAGTATGTCTGTCAGATTGACTGCCTTACCTGTAAGAAGCGTATGAGATATGATAGAACAAGTCGGTTGATTTCCGGTAGCGACAGGATTATGGCTGTAGCCACGGTCGAATCATCACAGTTCATTATACATCTTTCAGTGGAAAAGAATTAAGGAAATTAAGCTAGACAAAAAAAAAAAAACATCCAAGAAAATCTTAAAACTGGAATAACAGTAATTACATTTCTTCCATAACGAGATATGGAGCAACGCTCTAACAAAAAACAAAATAAAACAAAACAAAAACAAAAAAACAAAAACAAAAAAATCCAACGGTTTGAGTAAGAGTTTATTGATTGACGGAACCCAAACAGTCAGACATCTTGGGATGTTTTGCCGGGTCGCGTAATTTTGAAAATGGTTAAAAATAGACATTTTTACTTTGTGTCTAATGTGTCCCAWTTCAGACCAGGTTATATATTTATGTGTCTTCTCATGCGCAACCATTAACGAAGAAATGATAGTCCTGGTAATGCGAGTGGTCTGGAATATTAAAAAAAACCGCCATAGCTAGAGAGGTCTATTCCCGTCCCCATCCCTTTATAATTTGTCATTGCTACTTCCTCCCCAATAAAAAGTTATGCGATTATTGTAATGATAATGTATCTTATCTGAAAGGATATTAATATTCTGGAGGCACGAGTGGTTCTTCCAGCTCTCTAAACCAAAGCTTTAGTAAAGAGGCTGGAACGTTGGGGTCTGAGACCCAGTGTGGTGTCTCGTATTGATCCAGCTGGATTTTTAAGGAATTAACTTCATCTATATCTCCGGGTACCCTGTGGAATATAGAACCACGTTAAACAGACAGTGGACAGACCCTAGAGTGCTTTGATTCTTATTGCGCATGCTCCATGAAATTAGGTTGAGCATTAGACTCTTCCACAGTCTCTCGCTCGTCCGTTCCGTCTCCACGCTTAGAGACTGTAACGGTACAATGACCGAAAGGACTTA